CCTCTTCTGGCCTGCAGGGATACATGCAAACAACACTGCATATATAATAAATAAATAAATAAATAAATAAATAAATAAATAAATAAATAAATAAATAAATAAATCTTTAAGAAACAAAACAAAATATATAGGTTGTGTGTGTGTGTGTGTGTGTGTGTGTGTGTGTGTGTGTGTGTGTATATATATATATATATATCAGTCTGTTTAGTGTTACTTGTATGTATGTGATTTCAGGCCTGACCACATAGTATTGGATAACCAGTTAAGGCAGCTCATCCCAGGGGAAGATTATTTCTCCCTGTCTCAACATTCCTTAGTTGCCTGTAGTTTTTTGTCTAGAGATGGAGCCCCATGAGATCTCCTTCTTCTATGTTAGCATGTCTATTAGTGTTGTATTTGTTAAGGCAGCCATATTGTTGAGGTATCATGGGTGAAGAAGGTTACCTGTCCTTTCTAAGAGATACACTCACACAACAGATTTCTGATTCTCTGTCTCTTGCAATCTTTCTGCTCCCTTTTCCAAGATGTTCTCTGTGTGTTAGGTTCAGGAGTTGTGTTGTAGGTTTATCAGCTGGTCTGGATACCCCATGATCAGTTATTTGTTCTTTGCAATTTTGACCAGTTGTGGATTTTTGTTGTTGTTTGGTTTTGTTTTTATTTTCAGTTAGTCTTCTCTAATGGTCTTTGTCTGGTACAAAGAGAGTTTAATATCATTTTTTTAAACGGGGTCTGTTATAGCCCAGACTGGCCTTGTATTCTTAGTCTTGCTGCCTCTACCATCCATTGCTGGGATTACAAGTGTTACCACCATGCCCTATATAATAGCTCTTTTTAATAAGAAGTATCTTTTTAAGATGTTCTAAGGGTCCACCTGGGAAATTCTAAAGTTAGTTGAAGAGCAATAAAAAGACTTAATTTAAAATTTGATTTTGAAGTTGGATGTGTGGCACATGCCTACAACCCCAACATGCAAAAGGCTGCAATGGAAGAATTGAATGTTTGAGACCAGCTTGGGCTATATAGCAAGGCCTAGATAGAATCATTTTGAGAAGTTAAAAAACCCAAGAATTTATTAACATTAATCAAAGCAGATCGAAAGTCACTGTGAATAGTCATTATTCATTTAAAGACATCATTAAAGACTAAAAAAAAAAGCACCTCATGGTAAAATCTTTTTAGATTTGATTTTATGTTTATCAGTGTTTTTGCCTGTGTGCATGTATGTGTGCTGTGTGTCTCGGAAAAGGGTGTTGGATCTCCTTGAACTGGAATCATTGATGGTTGTGAGCCACTATGTGGGTAGTTGAAACTGAACCATGGTTCTCTGTAAGAGCAGTACAAGCTGTTAACCTCTGAGCTGACTCTTCAGTCCTGAATCCACATGTTTTTAATAACAGTACTGAATTTTATGGAAAACTCAAACAATTCTCTTCTAGTCTTAGCAATTAGCATATCTTTTTAAAATTTATCTTCTACAAATCTCCTACAACTTTGCCATTCATATGGTGGTTTTATTGTATTCATTTTCCCTTTTCAATTTAAAATTACCAGCCATTGTATTTTGGGGCAAAATTATTTTTTCTTTAAATAAATTTTATTTTTTTTTGGTAACGGTGTTTTGCCCGTACCACATGCATGCTTTGTGCCTTCAGAGGCCAGAAGGAGGGCATCACATTCTCTGGAACTGTAGTTATCAGCACTTGTGAGCTGCCTTGTGAGTGCTGGAAATAGAGCTTGTGTCTTACAAGTGCTTTTTACTGATGAGCCATCTTCTCCCTAGCCCCCAAATTACCTTTTCTTTAAACAGTACATTCTTGTACCCTCTTGCTTTTCATTACCAAAAGTGTATTTTACTTTCCTTTTATATTTGAATGTGGAATTTCCCTCATCATTTCTCTGATTATTGTTGCATCTATTAGAAATCTTACCCTTTTATCCCTTAAGGAACTTAGTTTCCAGTAAACACAAAGAAGGCAGCAGTTATAAATGGCCTGACATATCATCAGTCTGTAGTTTGTCAAATCTATGAATCCCAACTGGAAGCAGGTGTTTTCTTCTAGTAAAATCTGTCAGTGTGGCACAGAGCATAACATATTTGCTAGTTGTCCTAGCTATCTTTAGTCTCTGTGCAGTAAAAAACTGGAGGCAAATATTTATCTTTGTTTGTTTGTTTGGCTATGCCTGAGAATTTGTTGTTTGTGTTGGTTTCCCTCGGTTTCAACTTTATCCACCCATCTCCATGCTGGGAAACTTAGACTCAGTCTTTGTATTGCGGGGAGGGGTTGGTTAGACAGGCTCTCACTATATAGCCAAGTTAGCCTAGAATTCTTGATCATCCTGCCTCATTCTCCCAAGTATTAGGATTACAGGTATGGTCCCCAAGCCCAGCAATGGAGGAATCCCTTTTTAAAGGCATATACCTGAGGGCTCTAGTTGTGTACTATTTAATATCTGATGCAATTCAGTAAAAAAATGACTTAAATTAACTTAATGAGCTCGACACAAATTTGTGTTGCTTCATTCAAAGAGGAAACTTACCCATGACTCCACTTGCTTTTGGACAGTCATGGACACAGTGATCTTGGTAGGTACCTTTACTTGGCTAGTCAGTGCTGGGACAGAGAGGAGTGGGGTGCTGTTAGAGGAATGTCCACTTGGGAAATTTACTTGAAACCCTACTCCTGACACTAAACCATTAAAACAAAACCATAGACAAACTAGTTTGAATTGACTTTTTTTTTTTTTTTTTTTTTTGGTTTTTCGAGACAGGGTTTCTCTGTAGCTTTGGAGCCTGTCCTGAACTAGCTCTGTAGACCAGGCTAGCCTCGAATTCACAGAGATCCACCTGGCTCTGCCTCCCGAGTGCTGGGATTAAAGGCGTGCGCCACCACCGCCCGGCCTGATTTTGAGCAAAGAAATGATTCTCTGAACCGGTAATGGTGCAGAGAACTCCACCCAGCAACTAGGCATGTGATATTTATATATAGACGAGAAAGTGTGGCACGCAAAACAGCTTACTTAATTGGTTACAACTCAATTTCAGCATGTCTGTTTGGAGTATGGTGTGTCTTAATACTTACCTCCTTTGAAATTTGATGTGTCTTTCAGTTTGTCATGTTTCAGTTGTTGTGTCTGATTCTAGGTTACATGCTGGATTTGATATGATTACTCGGTTTCTGACAATAGTGGCAGGGAGGTAGTCACTCTGAATGCATGTTCACTTGCTACTTTAAGATAGTTATAGCTGGAAGTTTTCCTGTGTCCCACCCTGTCCTGCAGCCACTGGAACCCAATTAAACACACAGAGGCTTATATTACTTGCAAACTGTATGGTCTATGGCAGGCCTCTTGTTAGCTAGCTCTTATCTTAAATTAACCCATTTCTATAAATCTATACTTTGCCACATGGCTTGTGGCTTACCAATACCTTTACATCTTGTTTTTCCTGGCGGCAGCTTGCAACGTCTGCCTTGCCTCTCCTTTCTCTTCCTATCTGTTTGGATTTCCTGCCTGCCTCTAAGCTGTCTTGCCATAGGCCAAATGGCTTTATTTATCAACCAATCAGAGCAACACATATTCACAGCATACAGAAAGATATCCAAAACAGATCGTCCTCAGGTGGAATATACTGGCCAGCTGTTTATCCAACATGAATTTCTCCCAAGAGCAGCCTCAGGCTAGGGTATAAGAGCAGAACACTGTTGCCACTTCTATCAGTTATGTCTCAGAATGTATTTCATTAAAACACTCTGTGTCATCTATAGTATTTTAAGAATTCCAACTTATGTATTGTGTGTCTTAAGCTTCAGAATGTTTTGGGATCTGACCTTTTGGTAATTAAGTCTCTTATGCAGTGGGAACTAGACCGTGATCAGGGTGATTGGATCATTCAGTTGACAACATCCCAGAATGAACAAGAGTAAAGGCAGCATTTGCAGTATTCTGAACATGTGTCCCAGAATGTTTAAATAGATGTAGTAGTCTACACTGTTCTAGTAGAATTTTTAGTTTGCTATGTTTTCTTGTATTTTGAGGCAGAGTTTTGCTATGTAGTATAGATTGACCTTGAATTTGGAATTCTACAGCTTTAGCATCTCTTCAGGACTGAGATTACAGTATATATACTACCATGTTAATAGTCATAAGTACTTTTATAGGTGTATATGTTATTTGTAGTTAAAGATTTGAATGGTGTACATCTTAGTTTTGTTTTCTGTTGCTGTGATAAAATACCCAAGCAAAAGCAACTTAAGAGAGAAGGGTTTTATTTAGCACACAATTTGAGGTTACTGTCCATCATTTTTTGGAAATCATGGTGGTAGGAACTTAAAGCAGCTAGTCACATTTTGTGCACATTTAAGAGTAGAGAGCATGAATTAATGCATGCTGGTATTCAGTTCATTTTTTTCTTTTATATAGCCCAGATCCCATGCCTTAGGGAATGATTCTTGTTTCCATGTAGACAGGTAGGTTCTTAATTTTGTGACCAAGCACAAAGCACATGTTACTTGCTGGGTGGCTTTGTTTTATTTGTTTGTTTGTTGTTGTTTTTGTTATTGTTTGGGGGACGTTGAGACAGTATTTCTCTGTGTAGCCCTGAAACTAGCTCTGTAGACCAGACTGGCCTCGAACTCATAGAGGCCTGCCTCTGCCTCCCAAGTGCTGGGATTAAAGGTATGCTCTACCACTGCAAAGCTGAAATAGGCTGGTTTTACTGTGTTCTAAGTTATTGGCTCCCTCACACTCCCATTGGCATCTGACTTTCATTAGTGTTATTTTGTTTTTTTCCAGACAGGGTTTCTCTGTATAGCCCTGGCTGTTCTGGATCTCACTCTGTGGACCAAGCTGGCCTTGAACTCACAAAGATCCACCTGCCTCTGCCTCCCCAGTGCTGGGATCAAAGGCATGCGCCACTACCACCTGGCTAGTGATTTCATTTTTAGCAAAGCTTTTCTTCTACAATTTGGGCTGAATGTGCATAAGGTAGAGCAGTAGTAATCTGCTTGTCCACTCTGTGCTGTATGACCGTCACACTTCATGTAGTTTGTTGTTTCCTTTGCATCTTTTTTTTTTTTAGTCCATGGAAGCTTTTTATTAATGTGTTTTACATCTCTAGAAAAAGAATCCCAGGATTTTTCCTCCTGTGTGTTTTCGTCTTGCTTCTTCATGGTCCATGATGCCAGCTGAGGTTGTCAGTACAATGAAGCCAAACTGATGGGATGGGAGCAGATTGTTCTGCCATTTTTCTAGGTCTTTGAGTTGCACATCAAATCTAGGGCTTATCACCCCACACTTGTTCAACCTGCCTGTGAGGTTTACAACGATTTTCCCAGCTCTGTGGTCGTCGATGGTTTCAAACTCACCAAAGTAACCATGCTTCATCATCACAGTTAGGAACCTAACGATGACTTTGGAGCAGGGCCTGATGAGGATCTGACGTTTGCCTCTCTTCTCAGCATTGTTGATGCTCTTGAGAGCATCAGCCAGGACATTCATATGCACCATGGTGCCGGCACGGAAAGGTGGCGGAAAGAGGTCCTTTGCATCTTTATGTGAAGTCACTTTGTCATATTCCATCAACACTTAACATGCCCTCCTTTCCTCTCTGTGATGAGGTTAGTACTGATTGTCAACTAGATAGGATCTAGAATCATTTAGGAGACAGATCTCTGGTCATGTATATAAGGGAGTGGTTTTTAGGTTGAGTTTATTAAGATGGGAAGACCTACCCTAAGAGTGAGGCAGAGCCATTCAATAGGCTATGATCCCAGACTGAATAAAAAGAAGAAAGCAAGCTGGACACCCAAGTACCAGTCTTTTGCACTCTCTGCTTTCTGACTATGAATGCAATGTGGCTAACTGCTTCTTGCTCCTGACACTATCATTTCCAAAAAATGATGGACTGTACTTTTAAACTGTGAGTCAAAATAAATCTTTCCTTCCATAAATTGCTCTTGTTGGACATTTTGTCACAACAACAAAAAAGTAACATGTACATCCTTGGCTCTGTTTTCTGTCCTTTTTATGGTAATCCTCCCTTCCTAGGTCTTTTAACAGCCTGTCATCACAATTAGACTTCTGTACCAAGAAACGGAACTTGGTCCTCAGCAAGAGCATTATGTGCTCTTAACTGTTGAGCTGGAATTAAAGGCATCTATCATGCTAGCTGTGGTGATATTTTATTTGTATGTTAATAAAGTTTGTCTGGAGATCAGAGGATATAGCCAGCCATAAACAAAAGTCAGGCGGGGTAGCACACGCCCTTCATCCGATCACGTGGCAGGCTCTGTGTGTTCAAGGACACGGCCAAGCTGGTGATATGCCTTTAATCCCAGTACCAACCATAGAGACCTGGAGGTCTGTACAGACAGGCAGTGACGAGGAAGTGAGGTGGCTGGGCTAAGAGCCAATGAGAAGGCAGAACAGCAAGGCAATAAAAGTGCAGGTTAGACAGGAAGAACCGCGTTCTCTTGGGGAAGCTACAGCAGCGTGGTGAGCTAAGGTTAGCTGGTGGCTATTCCTATTTCTCTAATCTCTACAGCTTTCACCCCTGTATTTGGCTCAGTGTTTCTTATTTAATAAGACTGTTTAAAAATTCATCTGCAGCTAGCTATATTCTTTCTTTGAATAATTTGCAGATATTTTCTTTTTCTTTTCTTTTTTCTTTTTTTTTTTTTGGTTTTTCGAGACAGGGTTTCTCTGTGTAGCTTTGCGCCTTTTCCTAGAACTCACTTGGTAGCCCAGGCTGGCCTCGAACTCACAGAGATCCGCCTGGCTCTGCCTCCCGAGTGCTGGGATTAAAGGCGTGCGCCACCACCGCCCGGCTAATTTGCAGATATTTTCTACATCCTCTAAGTGTTCTTTTCATTAAGTTGATTTCCTTTGCTGTGCACAAACAGCTTAGTTTTATAAAAATCTGTTTGAGTTTTGTTTATTTGTTTGTTTTTGAGATAGGATCTTACTGTGTAGTCTTGGGTGGCCTGGAACTCACTGTTTCATGAGTGCTGGGATCAAAGGCATTTGCCACCACACCTGGCCATTTATTTTTGCTTTTGCTTTTGATGTTTAATCAAAAACGATTGTTTATACAGATTACTATTGCTTAAAAGGGTTTCCTTGTGTGTTTTCTTATACTAGTTGTGTGTGCACACACTCTTTGCAGAAACATGTGGAGACCAAAGGTTGATGTTGGGATGTCCTATTCAATTGTTTCTTCACCTCATTTTTTGAGAATGGGTCTCTCACTGAAGCTACTGTTTGACTAGACTGACTGCTGGGTAAGGTGCCAGGATCCATCTCCACTTTCCAGTGCTGAATTGTGTGCTGCTGAACTAATTTTTATATGGTTGCTGAAGATCTCAACTCAGCTCATGTTTAGACAGCAAGCACTTCACTCATTTAGCTATCTCCCCAGACCTTCTGCTAGTTTCTTAATTATAGACCTTATATTTGATGTTTTGAATTGATTTTTGTACGTGGTGAGAGAATAGGGATTCTTCTATATATTTACATTCCTAGCATAGATTTTGAGGACTGCCATTTCTCCAGTATGTTTTTGATAACTTCAGTAGTTACTCTTCATTGACAGCTTTCTGGATTTAGAGTCACCATGGAAGCACACTTCTGGATATATCTTTGAGATTGTTTGCAGAAAGGTTTAATTAGAGAAGGGAAGGTATACCTGAATGTTGATAGCACATTAGGTTGGGTTTTCAGACTGAGTGCAAGGGAGAAAGCTGTACATCAGTATTTATCTTTCTGCTTCCTTATTACAGTGTGACTGGCCACCTCATGCCCCACTGCCCACTGCCACACTCTCCTGGTCATGATATACTGTATTCCCTGAAACTAAGCCAAATAAACGTTTTTTGTCAAAACCAGTGTGATGTATAGATTTATTTCTATCCTTTCTATTTGTTCCATGGTTCTTTCTTTGTGTTGATTTTTATAAAAGCCAGTATGTTGCTATTTTGGTTACTCTGGCTTTGTGGGGTTTGGGTTGGTTGGTTGGTTTTTGTTTGGTTTTTGATTTTTGAGACAGGGTTTCTCTTTGTAGACCAAGCTGGCCTGGAGCTGAGTCCTGCCTCTGCCTTCTGAGTGCTGGGATTAAAGGCCACCACCACCCCACTAGTAGTTTGTTTTGAGATTAGATAATGTGGTACTTGTAGGTTTGTTCGTTCTGCTTAAGATTGCTTTGGTTATTCAGGGTCTTCTTTAATTCCATGTGAATTTAGAATTGCTTTTTTCTGTTTCTATGATGACTGCTTTTGGGATTGCATTGATTCTGTAGATTACTTTGGGTAGTTATGGACTTTTAAATACTAATTTTTCCAATCCATGAACATAATGTGTTTTTTTTCCATGTTTATGTGTGTCCTCTTTAGTTTCTTTCTTCTATGTAAATCATTTACAGCCTTGTTTCCATTTGTTCATGGTACTGGGAATTGAACCCAAGGCCTATTTTTTTTAATTAAGTTACCTACTTTGTTATTAATGTATAAAAGTTCTACTGATTTTTTTTATTAATATAGATTTTTGTGTCTAAAAGTTTCAAGTCATTTATCACTCCTGACAGTTTTTTGGTGTAATTTTCATTTTTCTATGCAATAAAGCCAGCTAGATGGCTCAGTGAGTAAAGACACTTGCCAATGACAATCTTGAGTTTGATTCCCAGGATCCATGTGGTAGGAGGAGAGGATCAATTTTTGAAAGTTGTCCTTTGACCTAAACATGTACTCAGATGATTTTTTGTTTTGTTTTTAAATCATGCCTCCAAACAGGGACAACATATGTAGAAATTCATACTGGTTGCATTTTTTTTTTTTTTTACCAGCAATTGATATAGCCCATTTACCCCAAAAGAAAAAAAAAATCAACTCTTCCATTAGGAAGTCCTATGTGTTTAGTTGGTCCTATAAAATATTGGAATTGGAATTTGTGAAGTTGTGGTCATTCAAGTATCACAGTAAAACACATATCTTGAATTTGTGATGATGTTGGTGTAAATAAATTTACCACACTTCTCTCACAAGAACATGGAACACACACAATTGTATTCAGTACCTAATACTTGATAATAGCAGTAATTGGCTGCTACTGGCTCATACATTTTTTAGGCTATATTTTTTATTGTTGTCTTACAGTTTATTCCTATGTAGGGCCAGCAAGATGGCTTAGCAGGTAGAGAGAGGTTTATGGCACTACAGGTCTAATGACCTGAGTTTGCATCTGTGATGTTCTCATGTTGCTAACTGGCACATTTCTCAAAAAACTAGCCCAGTTGTTTCACAATGAGCAAATGGCTAAGCCTTTCTAGTGGGTGGATAGTACTATTTGTCCTGGTTTTATTTTGAATTATGCCCACTGAGACTGGCTGCTTTGGCTTGACTCAGATAACCAGGGCACTTTGTATATACTAAACACGCTTGGTTCAGGAATTCAATCCTAGCACCAAGAAGGAAGAAATGAGTGGAGGACAGTGGAAGAGAGGAAGGAATATCAAAAAATGACAGTAGTCTTAGACTGTAACAGTTCTTAACACAGAGATGATCTTAATGACCTGATATCCACTAGTAACTAATTTTCCTATGCTTTTTCCCCTTTGTTTTTGCTTCTTTTGGGTCCTTTATTATAAAACTGTTGTCCCATAGGTGTGGTGGCATATCCCAACACTCTAGAGGCTAAAGCAGGTGGATTCTGAGTACAAAATTAGCTTGGGCTATACCATCTTTGGAACTTTTATTCCATTTTATAGTTTTGCTCGATTCTAGAATTGAAAATAAAGCTAATTTAAATATTTAAATAATTTCATCATTTTGTTGTTGTTTATTTCTTTTTACATCCAAACCGTAGTTTCCCCTCCCCCCTTTCCTCTCAGTCCCTCTCCCTCTACCTCCCCTTTTCCCTCCACCCATCCACTCCTCCTCTTCAGTTTCTTTTGAGAAAAGGGCAAGCCTCCACGGATATCAACCAATCATGGTATAGCAAGTTGCATTGAGACTAGGCACCTCCTCTCCTGTTAAGATGAGGCAATCTGGTAGGAGATAAGGGTCCCCAAAGCAGGCAACAGAATCAGAGAAAGCCCCTGCTCCCACTGTTAGGAAACCCACAAGAACACCAAACTACAGGACAATTAATAAATGGGACTGAAAAACTTCTGTAAGGCAAAGGGCACCATTAAAAGGACAAAATGGTAACCTACAGAATGGGAAAAGATCTTCACCAACCCTACATCTGACAGAGGACTGATATCCAAAATATGTAAAGAACTCAAACTAGACATCAACAAACCAAATAATCCAATTAAAAAATCGGGTAGAGGGGGCTGGAGAGATGGCTCAGCAGTTAAGAGCACTGGCTGCTCCTCCAGAAGTCCCGAGTTCAATTCCCAGCAACCACATGGTGGCTTACAACCTTCTCTAGTGGGATCTGATGCCCTCCTCTGGCTTAAAGGTGTACATGCAGACAGAGCACTCATACATAAAATAAATACATACATTTTTTAAACAAATGGGGTAGAGAACTAAACAGAATTCTCAGCAGAGGAATCTCAAATGGCTGAGAATCATGTTAAGAAATGTTCAGCATCCTTAGCTGGCTTCAGGGAAATGCAAATCAAAACGATTTTCTGAGATTCCATCTCACATCTGTCAGAATGGCTAAGATCTAAAACATGAGTGACAGCTCATGCTGTTGAGGATATGGAGTAGAACACTTCTCCATTGCTGGTAGGAGTGCAAACTTGTATAGCCACTATGGAAATCAATATGGTGGTTTCTCAGAAAATTGGGAATTGATCTACCTTGACCCAGCTATACCACTCCTGGGCATATAACCAAAGGATGCTCTATACCACAAGGATACCTGCTCAACTATGTTCATAGCTTTATTCATAATAGCCAGAAAGTGGAAATATGGTGATAGATTATTGTGTACCCTAATAAACTTTGCCTGAAGATCAGAGGACAGAAGAAGCCACTAGATTAAACATAGAGTCCAGACAGTGGTGGCACACACCTTTAATCCTAGCACTTGAGATCTCATGCCTTTGCTTGGGAAGTCACATGCCTTTAATCCTAGCACTAAGAAGGAAATGATATGGTGGGCAGAGAAAGGTATGTAAGGCGTGAGGAGACAAGTACTAAAGGCATTCAACTGAGGAAGCTTTTTGGCAGAAGCATCCCTTTCAGCTAGAGACTTTTCTGCCTGAGGAGCCCTAGAGGTAAGGGGTGATATGTCCCTTTGTGTCTCTGATCTTTAAACATTTACCCTAATATCTGGGCCTGGGTTTTTTATTAAAGACGGTTTAGAAATTCGTGTTACATGGAAACAACCTAGATGTCCCTCAAGTGAAGAATAGATAAAGAAAATGTGGTAGGTTTACATAATGGAGTATTACTCAGCGGTTTTGACATCATAATTTCATCCTTTGACAAGATTTCATTACAAATTGAATTTTATTAACACATAAAGCTATTTAGAATTTTTTTTGTCTTACCCTTTGTCAATTTCAGTCAATTCCATTTTTCCATTTATTGGCGTTTGTGATTTCTTGGCAGGAAGTTGATCAGTGGCCTCTTATACCCCCTGCAATGAACTCTTTCCTGATCTTGC